CTCCGCTCCCTCAGTGCCAACTCCAATCATCGTGGAGCTGATGCAGGTGCATAAAGTGCATGCACATATGGATCTACAATATGCAAGCAGGACATTCATAACAAAAAGAGATATCACTGTTTGTAAAAGTGAATATATTATTAAATTACTGCAATGTCTTGTTCTGTCAGACCTTAGTCATCAAATTAAAGAAAATGCTGATGAAGCGGGCAGAAATTATTTGGGAAATATTTTCATTGAAATCTACCTGAAGTTACTCAACTCAGCTAATTAATTCACTCAGACATTTTCAATACAAATTTGGTTCAAAACATAAAGCTTCAAGGCTTCATTTCAGGGCAAATATAAATACTTCCTAGTTAGTGACAAGAAGTATATACAGGAATTGAATATTTTATTTCAGTGTTTTGTAATTTATGGCTCCTCTGCTTCTAAACACATCTCACCTCAGTATATCATATGATGACAAATCTAATTTTTTCTCTTCCCAAACAGTCGCACTGCCAGGAAATGCTGTTTGGCATCAACAAGGAGGATTTGGAAAAATTTTCAGCAGACTTGCTTAACATTGTTGCTCAACACACCAATCCATTTTTTTCTTACAAACGTGGCACCATTTAGAGTTAACACATAGAAAATTTTATTCAAAAACAACAAACCTCTCTTGCGATTACTATCATATTATTTTGAACGTTTTTAAAACTTGTATTCATTTTAACAAACAGTAAAGTAGATTACCACTTCCAAACCGAAGTAATATTACATCACTACCACACCAGGTTAACACTTGATGCTTAACTATACCCTCTGTTAATGCAATGAAAGCATCTCTAATGTCATTATTTAAATTCTTTAGTTTGAATTAAGGAAGGATGTCCATAGATCTATTGGAACTAATAAATTTGTTTAAATTAGATGGAAAATGGATCAAATACATTTGCCTTATAATTCAACATTTTAACTGCCTTTGTAATGTTCTTGAACTCTTTGTGGAAAAGCAAAGTTGCACCTTTATGTTTCCATAGAAGCGCTATCATTGCCATGAAGGATAAATTAATAGGCTATAGAAATATTTATTGTTCTATTTTAATATCACCTGGTGAGATGTTTTTCTAAAGTTACTGGTAAAACAACTAAAGCAACTTTTTTTTTTAGATAAACGTGAAAAAGAATTCTTGATGCTTTGGACTTGTTGGCTGCAGCTGAAATAGTCAATTTATTATTATTTTTTGGTTTATCTCTCATCCTTTGGTTCAGACTAATTGTTAGGAGGATCTGTAGGAAAAAACAAAAACAAAAAAAAACATTATTTAAACCAAGGTGTTTAATTAAAAAGAGGCATCCTCCAGGAACAAGACAAGCATTCTGACTAAGAGGTTACTGGCCATGTTGTTTTTTTGTTTGGATTCCTTAGATAAGAGTCAGTTTTTGGGGTTAGGGTTGATGATGAATCCAATGGTCAGCTGCTGGCTGGTTAGACGAATTAACTCTTTTTTATAGAGTTTGATCAGCAAACATCTAAATTCTATACTTATATGCTAGACTGGTTTAAAATGATCCAAGTAATATCTCACGGTCAGCTTTTTCGTACCACTTCACCTTGGGTTAAATCTTTTTTTCCTTTATCAGTTAGTTGCTTCCATAGCGTTTGTTGTCCTTTTGAAAAAGCGTTATTTAATGTGTAAGGTATGCATAGCTATAAGCATCCAGGAAGAACAGTGAACTATCTAAATCCTGTGTGTACTGTTAGCCTATGTATTTATCAGTCAATGAGGGAACTTGGTCAAATTTAGAATGACAGTTCTATGTCAGTGGTGAATATCTCTGTATGCATCTGTCTTTTTTTATTAAAGGTTGTATTTCATCTTTTAACTATCTCATTGATTAATTAGATTATTTGTTTTATGCGTATGTCACATAGGCGTTGTTAGCCCATTTTTGGGCCAACAACACCTTTGCTTCAGCACCCCTAAATTAAATCAAAGCGCCCCTAAAATTGTGTTTTGTTTTTTTCATTATACTGCATGCACTTTTTAAAATAAAAAAAGAAACTTAAATAAATTGTAAAAGCTTTGAAAAAAAAACTATACAGTACTTGGTTTAAAGAATAATATTTTACTTACTTGTTGAAACTTTCAAGCAGGCTCCTGCTGTGAGAGGCAATCATTTATTTCATTGTTTGAATGGTTATGTCATAACTCTCCATAAAACGCCTCAAGCTGTGGAAACATTTCAACATTTCACCATTCCAATCGCACAGCCCACCACTCCAGTTTCTACTTAATTGCTTTGACCTTACTGGAAGAGCTTGTGCCTATCTTCAGCTGTTTACGGGCGAGAGGCGGTGTACACCCTGGACAGGTCGCCAGTCCATTGTAGGGCAACACAGAGACAAACAGGGCAAACAACCATTCACACACACTCACATCTAAGGAGAATTTAAAGAAGCCAATTAACATAACAGTCATATTTTTGGACCGTGGGAGGAAGCCGGAGTACCCGGAGAGAACCCACACATGCACAGGGAGAATGCAAACTTCATGCAGAAAGGCCCCCATCCGGGAATAGAACCCTAAACATTCTTGCTGCAAGGCAACAGTGTGTCACTGAGTAATCCAATCATAAGCTCCTCATTTCTTTTTATTTATCTTTTTATTTTTCAATTTCTTGCTATTTGAATTGCTGTTGTGAATTTAGCCTTTCCTTCAATGGGAGAGTGTTTAAACATTTAAGCACAACTGCATATATTAATCCAGTTAAATACAATCCATTTTATGATTGGCAGTCCAAAGAGGGACAGCTGTTAAAAGCGGAGGAGAGGAGCAAGGTGTGTGCAACGTACAAGGTCAGGAAGAACCAGGAACAAAAATAATCAGAATAGTGGCAAGCCAAACAGCATTTGTTAATCTTACAAAAAA